TTTCTTGTAGGTGGATATTCCATTTCACCTTCTTCAGACACTATGGTAGAATTACTACAAGTAACTAGCTTTAAAATCTGTTTGCATTCGTCTCTCAAATTGAAACAGTGTGTTTCGGATCTCCCAGATTTAATCCACATGCTGTGATGTAAGTGCTCAAAATATGAAGAAGATATTACAAAGCACGCTAGAGAGCATAGATGATAAACTAATCCACTTATGTGCCTCGTAATGTCTGTAAACATTTGCATGCCTTTTACATAAACCAGGAATTTCAATGATTTGTTTGTCTGATGCCTTTAACCCTTATTTGGTCTCCTATATCAAAGAGTCAAAGTCACAGTCAGACAAAGGCACCGAATTGTGTTCTCACTGAAAAAAAGGTAGAAGCAGAAATTAGTGTAGTCATAAATATAGCTTATAAGAGCAGCCAATCACACTGTCCACAAGTACGACTTATTCAAGGATGGGAGAAGGATGGGTAAAAGAAGATGAATAGTCATGTTTTCTTTTCCACTGCGGAAGAGAAAAGGGCAAAGGAGGAAAGACTTTCCGGTCACTTGATCTCCACACCACTGGCTTGGCAGTAGCGATAACGAAGGCTCATGTGCTGAGAGTAGGAACCGGAGTGAGAGAAGCGCTTACCGCATCGTTGGCATTTAAACGGCTTCTCACCGGTGTGTAGGCGTTCATGCTCTGTCAGATGGTGTTTATGCTTGAAGGCCTTGGTGCAAAAAGCGCAGGAAAAGGGTCTTTGGCCTAAGATATGAGATATGATTGTATTTCCTCAGGAGCATATTACACCAGGATTAAGGCCATTTTAGTAGACTGACACCTTACCGGTGTGTTCATATTTGTGACGTGCAAGGGAGCTGTGCTTGGAGAAGACCTTGCCGCACTGGTCGCAGATGTACCGACTTCGAGCGATCGATGCCGTCGATGGAACCCCATGCTCTGGCTTTGCAGACCCGCTGTTCTAGAGGAAATTTTTGCTTTTTTAGCGTGCTTTATCTGCTATTCATAATATGCTCGTCTGCATTTACCTCCTATGCTTAGGTAACTGCGATTTCTTAAAAATATAATACGCCATCCATTATATCCTTTACCTACAATAAAAGTAGAACGTTGTGTCTTCGCAACAATTCCACTCAGTTGGCATTAAAAAAGTAAGTTTTAATCGCGCATTTAACAACTCCAGTTTTAAAGCCTTCTAAGTTTTAGTTTCCTCCTTGGCTTATTACGCCCTTAAAGTTGACTCAGGGCGCTGCATAGGTTACAGCGGCGGAATGTATTCACGCAGTAAGAGAGGCTTGGTGCTATCCGAAAATGCGCGATTTACCAATATACTGTGGGGCAGTTTGGATCTCTCTGCCCTCAGCCTTCAACTTCTTGGCAAATGTTAAATGTTGTCTTTCTTATGAATGTCTTTGTCTTTCAGCAAACGCTTGTACACCCATTAGACTGAGGTAATAGCTTGAAGATGTGAATGGAGTTGCTGCCTTTCCTTTTCTCCTCCCTGGCTTATTCTCATTAAACGTCTTTTTTTGAATGCCATCTTTTTCGCTCTCCTTGCCACATACTTGGAAGCCTCAGCTTAGATCGGTTCAGTAGAATGCATCAGAAATCTACACTGCTGATGGTAGTTAAAGAACTCACTTTGGAAAACTAGTCTCCCAAAGTAAAGTCTGGACAGCAAAAGTAACTTACACAAGAGAAGGGGTAAAGTGTAGAAGGATAGATCTGCATAAACCGGAGCCACTTTAGTAGTTAGCGAAACTCCATGATCTGGAAGAAGGCATTTAACGACCTAGGTGACACCAGCCTTGAACCATTCAGAAAAGTTTGCTATGGGGTCACCAAGATATGTTTATGGGAAGTTAGATTAACAGCGGTAATTATGTTTCCTGCACAATTTTGAAAAATAATAAAGTAGGAAAGTGAAATAAATGAGAAATTACAGCTCAGTGAAGCTACTTGTGATTATGCTTCATTAAATGGCCTGTTTATAAAGAAAAAAGTACTTCAAAGAGATTAACTTAAAAATACACTCGTTGTAGACAGACCATTTTTCTTATCGTGGAACCAGTGCAGAACCCATAAATTTTTATAAAGCAGTCAGAATAGCGGAAAAAGTGTAAAAAACCTTAAAATCGACCTAATGGATTGAAAACTTAGAGATCAGAAGTCTACATACTTAAAAAGTGTAAGTTTCTTTATCGGCTCATGGGTGGCTTTTAAGGCAGCCACCGCTGTAGAAGGGTGAAAATAGGCAGGGCCGAGACAGCGCCTAGGGAGAGAAAAATTTAAGACAGAATGATATATTGGTTCCCATTGTAAAATTAATTACAAGTCTTAAGAGCCTCCTCTATGTATTTGTAAAAAGTATCTACAAGAAGTGATGGAAAAATGAGCATCCAGTAATAGTAGACTCAAGAATAGATGCGATTTGTCTAGAAAGACATTTTCTGATCCTCTTCCTTGACCACAACGCCAACTTGCTAGAACAACCCAGTGCTGGTTCTACTGCGCGATGAAACAATTCACTTCCAGCTACATCAACTGGACAAGTCTTCCAGCCTAATAAGCAAATTGGTGCCAACACATGCATTGTCAGGGCACAAGAAGCTGCGTGGATCACCGACTTGTTCTGCAACCCCTTCACGCACTCAATGTAGGCGCGTTATAACGATGTTATGCCCACTGCGTTGAGACGAGCACGAGCATTTGAGTTGCAGCATTCCCCAAACAGACGAGCACAGCATTGGACATCGTCGTCAAACAATTCACTCGCCACACATCTCATGCACCGAGAAAAACACACTCCACCTCATCCCCACAAATCTGCGCGTGCTTTGTGCGCCGTGCACTATCAATGCGACTGTCACCATCACTGTCCTGCTGATGACCAAACACCGAGTAGGATGGAGGCCTGCATGATTTCACACAATACAACTGAGGAGCGTGGAAGGAATCTTCACCACCAGAAGGAGTGAGGGCTAGTTGCTCTGTGGGAAAATGCGTCTTCTCATAGGGCAACACAAAGTGAGACCTCACCTCCTACCGCAAGATTGGTTCGTGCGAAGATGTGTACTTTGGAATGGGAGAGGGGGAGGGAGGGAGGGAGGGAGGGAAACAGGAGGCATGATGAAAGGAGCAGGAAGGAGGAGGGAGGGTGGTAGGATGGAGGAGGATATTGTTTCACCCCATCCTCATCACACACCTCTCCCACACTCCCCTGACAACCTTTCACCACGTGATGCTGATAATCGTCACATCTTGGCACTTTCCACTTTAGTAGACAATCACGTTTGAAGTGGATTAGACGGAGGTTGTCATGGTTGAGTGTTACTTGGGTGTATGGAGACAAAGCTTTGGCAAAGTAGGAAAGCCCCGTGTGTGTGTTGCAATGGGCATGAAAAGCAGACATCAGTGATGCACGGAGGAAGAGCACAAACCCATTCGGAGATAGATTGGTAGAATTACCAGTGGAGTGCTTGGATAAGGTGGATTTCTGATTATCCAGACAGAGACATCGGATGACCTGATGTGTGTGGAGGTGGCAGATGGGAGTGTTGAAGACAAGAGCTTAGCTAGAACTGTACAGCTGTTGAGTGGAACTTGTGCGTCCAACTGTCACCACTTACAATTAATTATGAACTGGCATATTTGGCAGAGAAATCGCATTGGAATCCGTCGAGGACTTTGAAATTCTCAACGATGGTGTTGCCTAACCTTTACGGAACATCATCTCCTTTTTTGTCTCCTGTAGGCCTTAACATTATTTAGGTTTATTAATAAAATATTAAACTTAACCGAAGTAATAATGGAGTATCTATATATGTGGGATTTCTAGGCGAATTTCTCTAACAGGCGTGCTCTTTTCAGGCCCTAGACCTATGCAACATTTTTGGTAGGGCAGAAGAGTTGTTTAAGCCCCACATATTCACTACCTTGACTCTAACTTCACGAACACGCAAACCATCATGTCGTATGGTTGATGAATCAAGGTAGCTGTATGCACGAATGTCTCTTCATCCCAACTGATAGTTGCCTTCCCTCCCAACCCTCTTTCCACTGTTCAACCAGGTGGGTAGCCGTCGCGCGTGAGAAGAACAGATGGACTTCCCTGAGTGCATCTTCCATCGTTGAAACTCGAAAATAATTCCCCTCCTCTTTTCCATCCCTACCCTCCCCCCACCTCTAACAACCTGTCTCCTCGTTGCAGGGACTGAGAAAGATTTACTCGCAAGTGGCGTGTTCGCGACTATTTGTCTCTTCCTCAGCGTAAGTCGTATGTGTGCGTGTGAGTTGGGAGTGAGGGAGTTAGTGAGCAGCCGGAGAGATGCAACGAAACAGATGGGAGTTTGTTTGCACGATCCATCATTAGGAGGGCGAACATATGGCGTCAGGTAAATCACACACATGCATACACACACATTCATGCTTGGAAGTTATACCGACATCGAGTTTGAGGTGCGCGATCGGGTCAATGCTTCATTAATGCAGAGCTGTTGCAATATCTAGATGCAGTGTACTCCTAAATAGACCTTCTCGTCAAACATTACAGTCCAGAAATGCACTAAATTCTTCTGACATTGACAAAGTTGTTTACCATCGGGAGTGTTTAGGAAACAATGTAAGATACGGAGTCAGCCCCCTTCGTGAGTACCCGAGGTGCTGGACAGAGACTTAATTTTAAAAACATTTATTTTGAAACGTGGGTTGAATTTAAGTAAAATACAAGTTGGTAGGATTTATAAACATTGAGATATAGGTGAAATTACACCTGTACCTTGTTCTGCCCAGCTCTACTGTTATTATAAGGCACTAAAATAAAGCTTTGCCGACCTAATAGAAATAGCCAGGGCGCCTCTACAGTGTGTATAACTTGAATGCTGCCTACTTTGAAACTTTTTTCACGACAAAGGCGTCCAGAGCATGAGGTGATAAAAGCAGACCATCGCTTGTAGGACAAAGGACAGTTATGCGATATGATTCATGTTGCATCACAATGTTGTTCTTTTTGTGGACATACCATCTTTTAGAAAGCTTGGAGTAGCTCTAGCAGATATGCTTGCAAATACAGACATCGAGTTTTGGAGTGAGCGAGCTCATAAATCTTTTTCAACTACCCTTATCAGCAGTATGAGCTGAAATATATGTAACATAGAAGGTAGACAGATGTTTATATAGAAAATGAAGCAGAAATGAAAGTGGAATGCTATGGATTCCACATGACTCTGTTGCTATATTTAGCTGATTGGATTTAAAGGACAGGGAACCATTCCTTCACCTTTTTAACAAAAAACATCCCCTTCTGCGTACACAAGAGCTCATTAATACTAATACTGTCTCGGTATTATATAAAATTACCCGTTGTCTAACAATATCTTGTAATAATTTGAAATACACTCTGTAGACCGGCATGATTTAGCATATTCTGCAGAATGTGCAGTATTGTGATTTAATTGTACAAAAAAAAATATTTAATTAAAATGCATCCACAAGGATACAACTAAGTGAATTGCTTGATTTGAAAAAATTACCCAAAATAGTCACCTTAAAAAAATCAGAAAAAAAGTTTTTAGTCTAGTCATCAATAGGAGATTCGCGAATCCAGAAAGGTGAGCACAGTGGAAGTAAGTAGGCGACCCTAATTGGTATTTCCCCAGAGAGGTGAGAAAGGTTAAGACGGAAGTGAAATGGGATTCCCCCGGGCAATTCAGGACCAATTTATGCCTAATCTGCCTCCTCTTTATCCTACGCCTCCCCCTCCCTCCCCTCCTCCACTTCCTCATCTCCCAATTACTAATCGTCTCAAGTGCCGAAAGTGCAAAAAGCTAAGAAAATTTAAGACAAGGGCATTGATCGTAAATTGGTGAGAAAGCTGCAACAACTTACCCCATCGCTCGACTCAACTGGTGAATATAAAATATCGAAGTGATCTTCTGTGGATTTCCTTCCTTCCTCCTGAATGGTATTCACCTCAGAGTTTAATTGAGGTTGGGGAGTTGGCAAGAGGAAGTGGTGATGAGGAATTGGAGGAGGCGGAGGTGGAGGAGGAGATGTTAGGGACGTGGTCGGAGATTCTGACGCCTCTGTTGGCGGAAAGTTGGGAGTCAAGCCCTTCAAAGCTTGCTCCCAGGAGTTGAAGTACATCGGCCAGGGCTGTGACTGCTGTTGTTGATCTAGAGGCACCTCTGCCATCTGCATTTGCCAAATTCGTGCACAGAGCATTTGCGCGAGTGTTTGAGGATTGAATATTGGTGTTTGTGGGGTCGCTAGATGACTCACAGTGGGCACTGGAATCGGTGGTGGCGGCAACAGGGGTAGCGGGAGCAGTGGTATTGTAGGCAGTGGTGGTTGTAGTGGTGGAGGTGTGGATGTTATCGCCGGTCCTCTTCTTGAAACCGTTAAATCAAGAGGTTCTTCGTCATTAGCTTGTGACACATCAGTCTCTCCTTTTCGATCACGGGAACGGGCATTTTGGAACCATATCCGCACCACCTTGGGTCGAAGATTGGCTGCCTCGGCAAGCCGTTGAAGCTCAACTGTGGATGGCATTGGATTCAGACGGTAATAGGTCCGCAGAATGTTTGTCTGCTCTGGCCTAATCACCGACCGAGCTCGCTGCAGTGTAGAAGAAGGTGATTGTGTAAACGCCATCTCTTTAGACGTTGGTATCTCCAAAACTGGATCCACTGTTCCAGCAGTGCATTTCTTGCTTGACATATGGCTGGAATACGAGCCGGAATGGCTGAATCGCTTGCCACAATTGGCACAAGTGAAAGGCTTCTCACCTGAGTGAATGCGTACGTGCTCCTTCAGGTGGTGCTTAAATTTAAAGGCCTTACTGCACTGATCGCAGCGAAATTTGCGCAGCTCAGCACTCTCAGTATGACTTAACTGGTGCCGCTGGAGACGGTAGATGTTGGCGAATTGTTTCCCACACTGTGGGCAAGCAGGAACATGGGTTCTGGAGGTGGCATTTGAGGTTGGATGAGCGGAGTTGTTTTCCAAGAACTCGGGGAGAGAAGGGGAGAGGGAGTGTGTTGGAGAAGAGGATGTGGTGGCTTCGTCCTGATGGTGGATGCCCTCCATGTCTGGAACGCCGCGCCAGCAGACGGAAGCGAGCATATCGAAAGGGGAAATGAGGAGGAGAAATGGAGGAGGAAAAAGGAGGGGGTGGCTGAATGAGTTGCCTGGCTCTGCATGCTTGCGCACGCGCACTATTCCACCTACGCACGTGCGGCCGTGACCGGAGGAGAGCCAATGGGAAGGGGTGAGTGAATGGGCAACATGCGCACGTCCTCACACCCTATCAACTCAATTCACCTTCGCCACAACTTGCCGCCCTCCCCACCCCAGCCTTGTCTCACTATGCTAATTTCTGAGTGGGTCAATTTAAATACCCTCCTTTACGCGTAAATCCACCTACCTCGGAGAGAAGCGAGCGCTTTCTCAATCGGTGATAGGGTCACTTTCCTCTCTCCACCTTACGGCCATATTACACCTCATTATGCCTATCATCATCTCACGACGAATCAGCCTTCTCGAATATGCTAATAAGATGCGTCTCGAGATCTTCACATCACCAAAATCCCCACTTTTGTGATGAAATACCAACTCCGCTTAAATGCAGCTTATTTCACACAAACTATACTATATTTACACTGCTACTGCACTCGCTTGTCTGGTTGCAGCCAAAACAGGCACAAGGCTTAATAAAAAGTCCTTTTAGGAACGTTAAATTTCTGCGTTCGAAAAATAATCTTAACAGCGACTTTGTAATGGATTCTCTTCTATGGTATCGAAGCGTCATCCTTTCACGAACACAGAAGATGAAATCAAATGCATGAATTAGTGTCAGCTAGGAACGTCAGGCTTCAAACTGCAATTCCTTGATTTTCGTTTATAAGTTGTTTTTTCAACGAAGATTTGGAGGGATTATCAATTTCAGGATAACATTTGCACAAAGAATTCGTTCAGGTTGTGCACAGTCCACCTTCTCCTCATGCAACGTACACATAATGCGTGTTTGTTTGAAGATGCCTTTGAGGCGACAAGGGGTAAGGTCACACCAACCCCTTGGCTAAGCGGATGTCACCGATTTCCACGGTGGAGAAAAGCACCGCTCCTCACATGAACCTTGGGCAATCTGTGAATTCACTATGCAAAACAGGATGCCCTCCTCCAGCCAGTCTTCTGGCTGCAAAGCCAACGGAAAGATTGTGTGTTTCAAAAGGACTTCAAGGCTAGGGTAAAACGGTTTTTCAACTGCTTTCCCATCAAAATACGGCATCTACACTCGGCTGTGTCCTTATACACCCGTTTAAATGAGATCAACAGGTGGAACCATTTGAATAATTTGTGTAGTATTCCATAGCAACGTTTTTCGCATTAGAAAAGTATTCATCTTGCCAGAAAAGTTTTGCATGTAAGGAAAAGTAAATAAAGATAGCTGTTGAGTATTATCCATTTCGGCCAAAAAGCGCCATCACTTCTGTCCCACTAACTCGATTATAAAAGGAAGTAGGTAAACGGTTGGAGGCCAATTGGAAGTGCTGTTAATTTCATAAAAGACCACAAAAGGATTGGTTTTCCGAAGATGTTTTGTAGAAGGTGTTGAGTAAATAAGAAGTTGATCTCAAATTATTGCATCACACGGTCGCAGTCGAAGTCTGTTGCGGCGACCAACCGACCGACTGCATCCGCCCAGATTTGCCATGGCACGTGGAGAGTGGGCGGGAGCACATCCCCCATCAATGTGCCTGCGACATCACAAGCCTGGCCTCATTGCAGTGACAGGCACACACGAACACATGCAAGTGGTCTGAGAGAGGAGGAGAGGGCGATTGAGTGAGTGGAGTGGTGCGGAGTTAGTGTAACACCTCACCGGTGGAAAGGTAAGGCCGATTGAGTTGCATCGCCACTGTACCAACTCAGTGCAACTCACCACCATCGCTGCCACCTTGTTACATGTGTGATTTAGCCCCAGTCCAAATAACAAATGGCTGGGAACGCCTCTCACCTCCCCATGGCCCAGTTTAGCATCCTCTGGCCTGTGTGCATGTGCGCATGTTTGATTTGCCCTAACCAAAGACAGCCAGCGCCAGTAGACGACTTATCCCCTTTTTTGTGGTATGTATGTGTATGTGAAAGAAGCTGCCCTTCCCCCTCTCTCCCTCTCCCCTCCCCTTCCGCCTGTTTCCGCAGCACGTACGTCGACGTGTTGCACGGTTAGGAAGGAAGGCGGAAGAGGAGGCCGGTTTTCAGACCGCAGTGCAATGTGCGTGCGCGCGAACTTGTGTGTAAATGAAGAATGATGTTTGCCTGCTCACTCACCACTGGGGAGATGGAGGGAAGGGTGCGTGCCTCTCCCTCCTCCTCCTCCTCCTCCTCCTATTCCGCCTCCCCAATTCTGAGCAGGTGAAGATTTGTCCTCGCGCACTCTCCCACAGGTTTGCGTGCGTCTCCTGGTTAGGTGTTGTCGTCTTCGCATTCGTCGTGTTCTCCGCTTTCTTTACCACACATCCCCTAACAAGTGTATTGGAGTTCGTGTGTATTCCCATCCACCTGGGACAGACGATAAATCCTGTGTGATTCTGTGTTTGTGTGGTGGTTGCGGTGGTGGTGGCTGCGGTTAAGTTCGCGTGCAAAGCCGAGACTGACGCCAGTGGAGTGAAAGCAAAGTCACCGCAAGCGACGGACGCCGTTTCCGACGCCACTATGTTTGCTGTACACCAGGAACACAGAATTTTTGGTGGCTTCTTAAAGCCAGCGTCATCATCGTCGCCTTTCTTACATACGTGTGTGTTTGAATGAACATTCTTATCAGTCGACAAACTGATAACACCTCCATCTAATTGGGCAGTTGGGAAATAAGCGAAGAGGAGCATTCGAGATGGGGTTTTACAATTCGTGAATGTGTTATTTACTAATTTATCCGACAAAAGAATGGGACAAATAAAGGTGGTGGTGGTGTAGAAGTCGAAAAAGTGAATATGATGAAACGTGGAATTAGCATGGTCACATCTCACGGACTCGTCAACCATGCTGGGCATGCTTTCAAGTAGCACGTTAAGTCATTGAGACGTGCTGCTCCGATAGTGAGTGAATTTGTAAGACAGCGCTTAGTTGCCAGCTTATTGATAACCACAAATGCAATATTTACTGATGAAAAAACAAATGACTTGCAAAAATGCACCGAAATGAATGACCTCTCAAGATGTAGTGTGGAGTGGTGAAGAAATTTGTGACGGGGGCATTGGCGTGGCAGCTTACGCAACTGGGACAGTGGAATTCCTCACTTCCGATGTGTTGACGAGGATTTGTTCCAAAAATTTGATATTTATTTGAACATTAGCAGAATAAGACAGTTTATCAAACTGGTGTGCTCCTCGCCTGCTGGAGTCAGGGAGTTAACTTTATGTGTTTCAAGTAAAAAAAAGCAATTTGGGCAAAGTTTTGACAAAAATGTGACGAAATGTTGAAGTTGTATGGACCAAGTGGGTAATGATTCAAAAATTAGAGGCGTTTCTATTTCGACATGTCAAGGGGCAAAATTAAAACATTAACACACAAGAACCTCCATCCATGCACGCGAATGCGTAAACAAGTCAAGTTGACAAGCTTTTGATTGACTTTGTGTTGAGTGAATGCAGTGGAATTTCTGTCTTCCCCTCTTCTCGCTACATCACTACTGTCGACAAAGTAGTATCAGTGTTCTTAGTTTGAGATTTGCATTTCGGGAAGTTACATGATGCAGACATTCTGTTGGGTTATTTGAATATATAGGTGGAAACTACAAGACATGCAAGAGAGGATCTCCACTTGGAAGACCATCACTATGCTCCTCTTTACGCTACTTTTCGAAAAACCACTCCAGTCAGTTTTGTGTAAATTGATCCACTCTTAGTAGTTTACCTCATTAATACCCTATTTATCCTCAATTGTGAGGGTGTCCATGTAGCTGATAACCGCGAAACACCATATTGTGGGGTGGTGCAGCGCCGAGTGAGGGGATAGCGGTGGCGCGAACACCTGTGGGTATTCAGGGCCGATTGAGGAGGGGATAGAATTTCACCACCACTGACTCATCCTCTCCCACACACTTCTGTGGCAAAGGCGTGTTTCAGGAGGGCGATGGAAAGACAATACCTCCACCACCGCCGTCGCCACCACCACACGAGATGAGCTCAAATAACGACCACTGACAGAAACACCGCGTTAGTGCCCAGACACGTCCAGCAGTAAACACATTATTGCCAGTAAGTGAGCCTTCCAACACTTTATATCTGATCATCCATCCATCCTCAACCAGTGTGTAAGAAGTGATAGGATTCCATGAACTCGAAGGTAAGCAGAAAGGATATTTGAAATGTCATCCAGTCTGGCAAACACAAACAGATTTTGCAACACACACATTTTTCTGCCATGATTTGAAAGGAGCGCTTTGCCCTGGAAGCTCTGCATTCATGCAAAGGTGCTTTTGAATCAAAGGGAGAAAGAATCTCCCAATGAGTGATTGACGCATTCAAGTGTTACGCTAGCACTGATTTCCTTTGTGTTGTCATAACATTAATGGTTATCTGATAAGTACGATTTCCCGTTGAAATTTACAATGAACCAAATCAAGCCTCTTCAAGAATGGGAAATTAATGCCGGGTGTTTCCATTACTTAAAGCTAAGGCTACCAGCCATAGAAGCAGACAATGATGGTTTGACAATGAATTCTATCAACGAATACAGATAAATCAACTGCATTTAGGCAATCATTTCGGTTATGAATTTTCTTAAAAAAAGACGAAGCTGTTAACACGTTTGCTACTAAAGTCCCAAGGGACTATTAGCCACCATAGCTCACAAACTGGAGACATTCTACCTGACTTTGTGCAGTTTGACACCGACCGAGAAAGAAGTCAAAGTGCCTCCACACCGAGATCCTCCTACGTTGCCTCTATTGCCGCGAGCACAACCCCACTGTCAGCAACACTTGATTTGATGTGGCCAGTGGCTATCACATGTCACACATATATGGCGTTGATAGCAAAATAGTCGTGTTAAAAAACCCTTCTCCTGAAAGGCGGCAAGTCAAAGAGTCATTCAAGCATTTCAAGTTCGGAAGAATCAAAGCCAAGGCTGAGGCAGCATCGAAATATTCCACATGAATAACAGCCACTTTTGTGAGGACAACTGACCACCCATCCTTACAATTAACAAGCTGACTCTATGCGTCTGTAAATTTGGGGTGAACGTTGGGCTTCTCATGTCTACGGAGCTTATTTTTCCAGCACGTTGCCAGGGGCAGCCTGGTAAAAACTCAGAGACGAAACTCCTATGGTTTAATTTGGCGCGCTGTGAACGCGAGTTCATTAAAAGCACCACATGTGTGTACGTGTACATACTACGCTAAGTTCAGCAAATGATTTATGAGTATCAAGCACCAAAAGCTTCATATACTCTCTTCTTAGTTTATTTATTTACTTAAAAACGAAAAGCTGTCAGAAGAACATCTTACAAATAGGTGTATCGGCAACGAAGCCCCACCAACATCCACCTATCATCAGGCTAGTTAATTAAAAGTGATCAAACCAAGAATAACTGCAGATAGAACTCCTTGAAACGAAGCACTAGACTAAAATAAGCATTTTTTAGAAAATATTTAGTGTCTATCCCAAAATGGCAGACGTCGACCGGGACCACAGGCGAGTTTCTCTAAAGCTCCCACTTGACAGGTCAAATTTAAGGTATTGAGGTACGTGCCAGAGGTAAAGACTACTTAAACCAACACATCTCACTCACCGCATTTTATTGGTGCTTCATTCCTGCTGGGTCCCGCCTCTTTCCTACAGTTGTGAGCGCCTACTTCGTCCCCATCACCCGTTAGCCCGTTTTCATCGTCTGACATGTTGGCAGCCGTGGCACTTGTGTACATGTCCACTGAAATGTGATTATCAGGTTGAGAACCACCCAGTGATTGAATGATTGCACTCCCATCCATCCACGTGGCAAGCTGGCACCTGCTTTACCAAAAGTCGATATCGACTGACACGGGGTCAGCGCCTTGCACCGATCGACCCGCAGTACAGTTCAAGTGCGGAGAAGAGCGGGAGTGGGGGGTGGGGGGCATGTGAGTTTTGGTCACAGTGTGACCGTTGATGTGGACGAGTTTGAGATGTCGGTTAGCACAACATGGCAATGACAACTCGTGAATTCATGTTTATGAGTGACTGGTGCTGCTAAATACATGGACGATTATTGAAGAGGCATATTTCCCGCATTTTGTGGGCATTTGGCGAGTTCGAGGTAATTAGCACGACTGCTGACATTGCCTCAAAAATCATGATATTCTTTTTGGACAAAGATGAAACTAACCTCCCCACGGCTACACAAGGCTACAGCAGTCAAACTTGGGTTTTATAGGGGACAAAAGCGATGAGTAAAACACAGTCCTTCTTCCTTCTGTTTGTGTTAAGTGTACAGGTACCACCTCCTCTTGACAAGTCCTCTGCCTATCATTCTGTTACTGCCGAATAAAGGTACTTAAAAGAATTGGGCATGTCAGAATATTTTGGTACAGACACTGATTCTGCATGCATAAAAACTAATAAAGACGAAAGAACGTACCGATATTGCGAGTGTCGGTAGAGCACTTCGTCGCCTCAGTCATACCTCGTCTCAGGTAGATAAGCCGAGCACTGACGACCGTGGGAGTGACGAAGCCGTCGATAGATGATGGTTGCTAGGGTAAGACTACGTGAGCGTGACAAGAGGATTGAGATCTTCACCAAGTGACAGGAGGGCAGAATTCAGGCAGTCACATATCGATTTCGAATAAGCGGAACACCACCACAGAGACGGCTTGGCGACAAAGTTGATTGGCCACTCAGCACTACTGATAGTCGTGTACACCCAAATCACCCTCATGAATGTCCAACACCTCATCTGCTCACTTATGAGCACCAGTTTTCCCAAAATGTCTCTCTTTTTCACTTCCAGTAAGAGTAGCTTGTTTGCTGGGGTGCTATTATCACCGCCGGGCTATCATCAAATTACTTGGCAAAGTGATAACACTAGCAAATGGAAAGCAATTTTAAATTGCTTAGACAGACGTGCACTAATCAACAAGGCTTTGTGGCAGTTTTTCATTTTGCACTAGCCAATTCTTCCCCGGTAAGCACTTTTGACTCTTTTAATTTCGACACCGAGTAACGTGTAGTGATGATTTCATTTTAGTACACGAAGGCTACTTCATTCCTATAAATCAGCCACGTTTATTTGGCAAAATAATTCTTTTTGACATTTATTGTGATTCACAAGTGCAAATCCTCTCTAGTCTTTTCCTTGTATCATAGAGGGAGAACAAGTGAAAGATTCGTGCAGTGAATCTGCCTGTTTAAACGACCTCAAAATCACTTTCACTTTCGTAAATTGTGTGCCAAAATAGCTTGATAGAGGTAAACTTCCATCCAGATGCATTTATCATGCTGCCCAGATTATATTTGAGTAAAATATTGTTAGTTAAAACAACAAAGACACGGAAGGGAGTGAGTGGTTTTTGATAGGGAAGGAAAGACAATTTTTACCTTTTAGAGATGAAGTTGAGGGATGGGGAGAGAGAAGAAGGGAACGAGCAGTTGGTCGATATAAAGGGGTCACGAAAGCCCCCTGCAGGTATCCCACCTGCTGTTGGTTGACATCAGGTGCGTATTTCTGATGGAAAGGAAGGCAAATTGGGGAGTCACGCAAACCCGCTGCCGAAAACGCCAACAAGCGCGACTGAGCACACGCGTGCTCCATCTCATAATTGCTTGTCTTTCGGCTAATCCCTGCCTTTTCCTCCTCCTTTCCCTCGGTCTCCTTCTCCTCCTCCTCCTCCTCGGCCAACTCCCCCACCTCCACCTCCACTGTCTCCCTCCAGCACTCTCACCGGTCGAAAGCCCATCAAAAGGTGTTTGGTCTGCTGCACTTTGCTTCGGTCACCACCACCACCACCACGACCATCACCTCCCCTTTGCGTGGCTCAGGGGAGATTTGGGTAATTGCCAATTAAGCCGTCCTAAATCCATGGATTTACTCTGCCTCTGCAGTGATAGGGTAGGGACGTGAGATAGCGGATTGATGCTACCTTTGTGAACGTTAAAACCGTGTGCGTACCCGCGTGCGGTAATCCTGCGCCGATGCCTGCACCTTCTCCATAGGCAAATTGTACTGTTTGAATGCACCAAATAAAGGCGGCCTTTGAGCTTCGTGCCCAATCGCCTATCCTGGATGATACACATTTTGTAAAAAAATATGTACATTCATTGGAATTTGGTCTCATCATAAAATGGGAAATAGCCAAACTGTGGATTTGAACCTCCTGTGTATGAGTGTTCACTGCATAAGGATGAGTTGAGCCCGTTGATAGCTTTGCACATGCTCCTGGAATTTCGACCAATTTGGTAGCACGAATAACCAGTGGTCGTACTGCAATGCTTTGAATATCTGCATGATCTTGGTTTCGGTAACGTGCCACTTAGGGGCTCCAGCATTAAAAATCTCCGCCAGCGGCCCATCTTGCAGGCCATACGGGTAGTCCTGATCCCTTCTGTAGGCCTTTAAGGAGGTCTAGTTGTGCTTC